AGCGCATCGTGCGCCGCCGACGGCTTTAGGCCGTCTCTCGACCGATCCTGCTTTTCTCTCGGCAATTCAAACTCAACTGAACATGAAACATAATTTACTGAATAAATGGACATTAAATGCTCGGAGATCTGCTACTTAATATAAACTACAACTACGCTCGGCCTGTGGTGCGCGCTACGTGCGCGACAACGTCCCTTGGCCGAAACACCGAACAACATGAACATTCTTTCGAACACAGAAGCTTAACTGAACATGATATGACGTAAAAGGGCTGATTACATGATAACAACTTAAAATATTTCAAGCTGAACATGATGTGCCCGGCATGAACCGTACGCACGACAATTGAACATGAAGCTTGACTTGAACGCATGAACTTAACTAAACTGAAAAGGAGCAACATGACCATACGAATCTTATAAGAGGATTACCTCCTTAACTATCTCACAAGTTCATGTCCCTCTCGAATTCCCGGCGTGCGTGCGTACTCGCCGTGCGGTATGATGCGGCTTCTTGCGGCAAGCTATGCGGTGCGGTGAGCTTGTGGTGTGGTTTCTCTCTATGCGTGAGTACTAAGGATGAAAATTCTCCCAACTCTCTCTACTCTCTAATTCTTATATACGCACATACATATGCTGAAGACATGGGGAAAATGGTGGGAAAATTTTCCCATTTACCACCTTTAAATAGGAGGGTCGTGAGGTGATAGATGATGTAGGGTGTATGTGTTTTATTCTCCTTGTGCCAATTGTCTCAAACTTGTGGTCTAATTAAGATGAGTCATCTCTTAACCCCTCTTAAGGTGCCACGTATAAGAGCTTGAAGGAGAGGAAAATATTTCCCATGCATGAAGGAATTAAGCTACGGCACTTTAAAAGGAATAGCCCCATTTGCTACGGCTTTTATTTGTTAATTGTGATTAATTACTAACTAATCACAATTAAATGTTTAATTATTTAATTAAGCATAATACTTAATTACCAAAATTATTCCGAACGTAAACGGAATGTCGGAAATAATTTGGGTAATTCTGACTGAAAATAAATGATTAATTCT